GGTCTCCTGGAGAAGATGAAGTTCAGTGCTTTGGAGCTGCAGGAGTACCTTGATACGTACAACAGCAAAGAGGAGGCTGCTGTATCGGTAATTCTACCTTTCTTACTGTACATATCTTCTGTTTTTCAATGCAAGTGTGCAATTAAAAACATTTCACCTGCCTCTCTCAGTGGCTGAGGAACTGTAAGGATACGTTTCCTAGATGTCCTGTTGAAAACGTGGTCACCTGCCAACCTGGAGACTCAGAAGAGAAGGTACATTCTTCACTGTAAAATACAAACTTTTTGAATTTTCCTGAAAACAGACTGTCTAAATGCCTCAGCCTGTTCTCTTGCTTCTCCACAATGCTGTGGCACTAAGCTGTTTGCCTTATCTGCACGACTAATTCCCTATACCCTGACTTTAGCATTCATGGGGAATACAATGCTTTGCATGTGTTTGATTGATGGTCTGTCTTCTTCTCACCTCACTCTGACGCCCTAACATGCTCTATCGCTGTGTAGCAAATGGAGTCTCTTGCAGTAAGTTATCTCACAAGTTTCTCTGCTTTACTGAAATAAGCTGCTTAACTTACTTTTCACAAGACTATCAGCTAATTAACTGTGTGCCTGTGTAAATCTATGAAGAATAAGTAAAAATGTGTTTTTATTAATACCAGTTTGTCTGACTTCAGTTTTTCTCATGACTCTTCCAGCAACTGGAGCTTTGCCAGAGGCTCTATAAGCTGCACTTCCAGCTCCTCTTACTGTTCCAGTCCTACTGTTCGCTCATTGGTCAGGTTCACGCAATCAGCTCCGTGCCAGAGGTAAATCACATCAATTCTAACAGAGGAGACGCTTTTGTACTTGCATTACAAAATGCATGCTGCACATCTCTAGCAGTGTAAAGCTTTAGAAATCTCTGTTTTGCAAACTATCTATAAGCATTCTTTACATTCTCTTGAATGTAAGGCACTGTATGACCTTAAAAAAACCAACATCCTTAATTCAATTCCTTCTGCCACATGAGTATTGATGCTAAGGTTTCAGCACTGGGTCTCACTAGGTTCAGCTTTCCTTCTGTAAGGACGTGAAGCTTACTTAGACACCTAACCTCCTCCTTCCACCCCTCAGCTGCTAAATATGTCTCGAGAGCTCACGGATCTGAAGAGCAGTCTGCAGGCAGCAGAGGCAGCTGTAGCTAGCGACCTGGAGCACAAACACTTGGCCCACACCCACGCACACGCGGCGCAGTTGGCAACCATGGTCGTCCCTGACTTTCCCACCTCTGAGGTAGCCGTGCAGGCCATACTGGAGTGCCTTAGGAGCCACGAGTTCACCAAGGCTGTGTGCTACATCCAGGAGTGCAGGTGAGGGAGGCTCTGGAGATTAAAGAAATGTGATGTAAAAGTTTATAACGAGATTTCCCTGTGACTGTACAATGAAAAAAGACAAAAACAATGTAATGCTTAAACTGAAAGTTGACAATGTTGTTCATTATATACCATAAAACACCCCAAATATTATGTAAACACATTCACACAAAGCATGTGTTAGTTGTCTGCTCTCCCCTTGAACCTGTTTGATCTCCTCATCAGGAGGCAGTGGCCCAGCGGCGTGTTTGGCGGCAGCTCAGAGACCGAGGTTCAGACGCTGCTCAACATCTACTTCCGTCACCAGACCCTGGGCCAGACGGGCACCATCGCTCTGGTGGGCTCCCGGCAGGACCTCAGCCTCATCTGCTCCAAGCTGCTGGAGCTCAACGGCGAGATCCGCGACATGATCCGCCGCGCCCAGGGTTACCGGGTCGTCACAACTTACCTCCCCGACTCCAGCGCCTCCGGGACAAGCCTCTGACAGGACCTAAGGGGCCCCCAGCCCCCTTGCTCCCCTCCTTCACCTCCCCCACACATCCAATCATTGAAACCAGCTCCGCCTTCACCATTTCAACCTGCTCTAACAGAGGAGGCTCAGCATCCGCACACATGGCCGCTCCCTCCTCCGATATCTCTGCTTCCTCGGCTGCACAGCTTCAGACAGACGCCTCACTGCCTGACCCAACAGCAGAACCAGAACCATGTGTAGACGGGGATGTGCTCCTCCCACTGCTGTCCTCACTGTCATCCACTGCAAACTGTGATGTCTCTTTGCATGATTTCCCCAAACCAGGCCAGCGAGATTATACACTGCCGCGCACAAGACAGCCAAGGAGGATTCATTTCAGTGAGAACACAAGCCTGTACAGCCCTTTCAGAGTGTATTCATCACACAGGTCTGCTCTGTCAGACAAAACCACAATGTCATCATTTCCACCCAACGTCCTCCCGACTGTGGCGTCGGAGCCGAACTCCCTCACTCGCTCTGAATCAAATGTTATTTTTCAAGGCTCACATCTTCCCCGTTTTCCGCGCTCCCCGTACAAACACCCAGACAGACACGACTCTGCCTCCCATGCTCCATCATCATCATCATCATCATCTCTTTCTCCTGCTCCAGCCCTCCCTCCCTGTCCCACAGGCCCCGAGGAGGCCGCAGCGTGGGGGTGCTGCTGCTCCCTCAGAGAGGGAGCGACGCCCTTATCTCGCTACCTCGGGAAGGTGGGGCAAGCCGCACTGCCCTTGTTGAAAGTCGGGGAGCTCCTGAATACCGAACCGTCGGATGTCCAGACCTGAAACGTCATTTGATCATTTCTAATCAAAACACCAGATCTTTGCATCTGGAGAAGTGACACACATGAAGATTTTCATCACACGGGTAAATCTTTAATCTTACTGGAAACTACAGATTGCTACGTGCTGAAAATGAAAGTCCTGATTTTATTTTCAGAGCTGCATATCGTAAAAAAGTCAGCCTAGTTTTATTTCTGCTTGATCTGGACCTGTGAAGGCTTCTAGCTTGGACCTGTTACTTGCCTCAGAGGAACTTGACTGTCCTCCTTCTTCGGGGTAAGGTGGTGATCAGGTGAAGGCGTCATGAGAAGCAGCGAGGAAAAAAGCTGTGACACTCTGTAGCATCACTGGAAAAGTTTCTTATTTTGCACCAAATGAGATGTTTATTAGTTCTTTTTTTAAATGTTAGTTAGAAGATTATGTGACTAAGAGAAAAGGAATAACGGCTTTCACTTTTCTCTGAGATGGAAAAGCCAAATGCTGGAGGAGCTGTCTTGAGATCTCCACTGGAAGAAGCTGTGCAATGCATGAGCCCAAATATTCTACTGTACCCCAGAAACAAGCTCCACCTGGGACTGACTGAAGGACTGACTGAAGGACTGATGCGGACGCTTGAAGCTCGTTTCCTATTGCTGCTCTGCATCAGCCAATCAGCTCTTCCTCCGACTACTGTTGCGAACACTGGTGGACTATTTGTGCCGTTCTGTCTGTGGCATGCACTCCTCTCTGGCTAGCTGTAGCATCATTAGCGAGCGTGCGCACTGTATTTCTCACTGTCGTGCTCTGTTATATGTTGTGTTCTTACGCCAGGAGGATGTCGCATGTACATTCGAATATTTCGTCTGTCGGTAAACCTGTTAATTATCGTTAGCGTGGCACAGCCATGGTAGCATTGTTTGTGTATGGTTTGTAGTTGCACATAAGGGAAAAGCTGACATCCAGCTAATATTGTTGATGTTAAAGCAAAACCCAACTGCTTACCGTCATCAGCCCTCGTTTTCCTTTCACTGTACAAATGTCTTGATTCCTATTTATATCCGATCAGCAAGACGGCACTCGTTTGACTTTTATATTGTTTGTTCTTTCAGACCCAACTGCCATGCATGCATCTTCAGTGTTCTGTATGGAGTGTTGGAATTATTTATTAACAAAATCATGTTTTATCTGAAAGATACATTTGTGTGAGGTACACATGGGAGCTTCAAGCTCAGGTGGGTGTATTTTTTTGTTTTGTTTCCTGTGTGGGAGAACGTGTGTTTGCATGCCATACAAGAAGTTGCACACTTTTAAAAGCTTTTTAGATGAAGACGGTAGTTGTTTTTTCACCGTGTAAATACTTTTACAGCTTTTGTGAACTTGTTTTGAGTTGGAGCTCTGTACAAATTGGTGTCAAAGTAAAGACATATCAAAACTGCTTTTCTGATTGCCAGTCCATCACTGAGACACACACCTAAGAAGAATTTGGAGAGACCAATTACCGGTCATGTTTTTGGACCGTGGGAGGAAGCTGTGGTACCCAGAGAGAAGCCGTGCATGCGGAGGGATAACATACAAACTCCATGCAGAAAAATCTCGGGGCAGAATTCAAACCCAGGACCTTCTGACAACCCGATCAACTGTGCAGCCTCACATGCAACATCCATACTTCAGATTTAACAGACAGCAGGCACCGTCTTTAAAATTATTACATAATCCAATGTATACTATGAAGTTTTTTTGTTTTTTTTTGGAACCACTAATGACAAAACCAATGGTTTAATTTTTCTTTTAAAGTGCCAAATAGTCTATGTTACATTTTCTTCTGTCACACAGTTTGTGCATATATAGTCTTGCAATGTCTATTCAAGTAAATCTAAAAAAAATACATTTGGGGAAGAATGTTTTTAGAAAAATTATATTGGGTAGCTTAATTCCACAGTAAAATATTTCACTTACAAATAATGAAAACCAAAAATTCAGTGTCTGAGCAATTTTGAATATTGTGAAAAAGTTATAGCAAATTAATGCCACACCTTAATCACCTGAATTTTTCCTGTGCCTCCAATTGGTCTCAGCCTGTTACTCATTGATGGCGAAAACTCCTGACTGGACAGATGTTCACAAAAGGCCAGTACCAAAGATGTTCAGAGAGCCACAGCCAACCAGTAACAGAAAAGTGAGGATCAGCCTCCAGAGGATTGTCAAGCAAATTCCATTTAGAACTGAGGAACTTTACAAGGAGCTGAGTCAGCAGCTCAAGATTCACAGTATGTCAAGCCACTACTCCTGAACCAGAGACGAGAAACGTCTGACCGGGGCCAAGGACAGAACTGTGTGAAGTGGTTTAAAGTTCTCAGAAGAAAATTGCTTTTCATTTGGAAAAGATTTAATGTTATTTCTCACTTCTTCACAGACCCAATTCTAATTACTGCTCTTTATTCTAGGACTGCAGTATGGATTAAAATTTGTAGAGGATTTGAACCTGCAACATTAACCACAGTAACATACTTTTAATTTAGGTCAAGTGATAATTCACATTTGGAGTTTCATAAGTGTTAACTTTAAATCCTGAAATACACAAAACTAACTGAACTTCAGTAGAAACATTTTACTCCAGTATTCTCAACCCCCCACCCCAACATTCACAATTCTAAAGTGCAATTTATAATTTATTTACTTTGCATTTTACAAAAACCCATCATACCCAGAGTGAACCCTCTAGCAATTTGAGAGGTTGTCAGATAATCCAGCTGGTCAAAGGTTCAGCATGTTGCAGGCGAGTGAGGGGCGGCTTCCAGTGATGGACTTGAGCATAACCTCAAACTCTCAAAGCACGCAATGAAATTCAGCCACCATGAATTGGCTCAGACGATATATTTGAAGCTGTAGGTGGCGTCGCATGACAGCCTCATGCCTTTACAGCGGCAGCACAGGTCTTTACGATGAGGCCTCTTCATGTTGATGTGCCTCTGCTTCTTCTCACAGCTGCAGCAAGTCTGAGAGCAGCCCTGCAAAAATATTTAAGGTCGTCTGGTTATGTTCAACTCGTCAAACAGAAAACCTTTAAATGCCAAACCCACGTATTGAACACTTGGGTCGTCAAATGGGAGGTGCTGTACCTTACAGACTATGGACTCCACTCTGTAGGGGTTAAACCCCACCTGGCACTTCCGGCAGAGCTGCTTGTAGTACACCTAATGGAAATGCAACTAAAGTTATTGATGGAAATCTGGGGTGTGCTACAATTTGTAGCTGATCACTCACCTTACTGGAGCCAGAGATGCACCAAACATAAGCACTCTCCCACCGGATGTTGCACTTTTTACAGTGGAAGAAGCCATATCTCTGTTCTAGGAACTTAACACACACAAAAAATGCACAGACTAAATACGCATATAAGGAAACATCTTATAGCGGATTTTAGAAGGTTTCGGATCTTTTAAGCCAACAAGTTATCCAAAACCCACCTGGAAGTTTGGGCTCTTGGAGGATCGAGGAATCGTGGTCTTGACGCCGTTTTCCAAGTTGTCGCCACTGTGATCCGTGTCAGCATCAGACTTGGCTTGGTCAGACGCTTCCACTGGGTCCTGTCCAGCGCCGTCGCAGAGACTCTTCAGGAAGACCCTGCGGTCAAACACCGGCGAGTAGATGGACACAGGCCTGAGGAAGCGCAGGTTGCTCATAGGCGGCGTGGCCAACAACGCCTTCCCCTCCGCTTTGGTCACGTCGAGGCTCTCATCATGCGTCTCGCAGTTGTTGCAGGAGGCGGGATGTTCGACGTAGAGCAGCGTTTTCGGACCTAGAGAACACTGAACCACCTTGTCCACCTTGGCGTTCACCTGCACGCCGCACTCTTTGGTGTCCACCTTCCCGCAGGGCGGTGGAGGTAAACTGGGGTTGACTTGGGACAGGATGGTCTTGCAGATCTCCAGGTAGTTGAGGCCCTGAGGAATGAGAAAACGGCCTTCTCCCTTCCCCCAGCTGCCGCCCTGAGCTGGGGGAGCTCCATAGCCGCTGCAGGGGAGGAACGTGGACAGGAACCCCTCCATCCTGGAGCCGTAAGACAGGTGTGAGAGGCTCTTTGTGGGATTTATACAGATCCGTTCTGAAAGGCACTGATTGCTTAATTAAAGCCTGGGTGTGCGGGTTTAAGCTGAATTAAGTATTACGATCCAAAACTCTTCAGAACCACCCAAAGGCAAATTATGAGCCTATTTTTATTTTTATTTTTCTTTTAAATCTGAAGCCAATGACAAAATTTTAAACTTTAAAACTGGTTTTAATTTAAAGCACAGACAAATCACTAATATAAACTCAAAGTTGGCAATAGTAATCTCTATATAGTGAACAAGTTAGTAATAGTTTGGAATTAGAAAGAACTTTATTGCCTGGTGCTGTAGGCTAAAATAAATGACTGTCTACTGTGGAGAAGGAACTGCTCTAGTGGGGTGAGGTCGTTGTTCTGATGGACTCTAGAGGGAGGGGTGAGGAAAAAAATGTGTCCAGACTGAGAGGAGGTTGGCTGAAATCCTGTCTGCATGTCTCTGGGTCGCGTATAGATGGAAGATTGTAGCCAATTACCTTCTCAGCAGAGTGTATGATGCACATATGGATGCGATGATGTATTTGCTGATGAGAGTTTGGAGGTTTAGCATCATCTTAACTGGGATATAAACTTTTTATAGGTGTCATATGAAATACGATCCTTGCAGACCCTTGTTGGTGAGTATTAAGCTTCAGTTATTTGCCACTTCTGGCTCTCCTCCATTTGTATGCGTCTACAGTAGAGCTCAAATCTCGTATATATGGTATTAGGATGCCCCCTAAAGGTCATGTTGAACCTGCATCGGCACACAAAGAAAGATGTAAATACGCCTCTCTTTTAACGTCCCGGAAGCCAGTGGATGTTTCTGTAGAAACACTTAAAATATACTTTTGTTGGCAAACAGACAGTAGCTTCATGTTGTTCAAACACACAAATGTCAGCTTAATTAAATATGGAAAATAGGAATAGTTTAATGGCTTGTCTGTGACACAAAAACAAGGCTTTTAAGGCGACGTGAACAGTGGCGTTCATTTGTTAGAAAGCCCTCAAAGTGGTAGGGATACTTTGGTAAAGATAGACAGTGCTTATAGAATATTTAATTTAATTTACAATAGTTTGCAAAATGAAGTCAGCCTTCCAATGATATTGTTATGATAATTTGAGGGTAGTAAGAGTATGTGTTGTTTTAATTGATTAATTATTGCTTTTTATGCGTTTATAATACTAACATAAAAATTTATTTTGTAACACTATTGGGCTTCTAGGTTTAAAAATCAGATATTCAAATAAACTTGCAAAATATTCAAATGGAGGTTACAAAACAAAATAAAAAAATATGTAATTTTTTCCCTAAATTGGGCTACCACATAAAACTATAATATTGTTTATTCTGCTAAAGTTTTTTTGTATTTTTTTACTTCTTGCTGTCCAGTAGTTTGAAATGCTTTCGTGACCTCTGAACTTGATAAAGCTTTATACAAGTACAGGCCTTTTACTTTTTCCTTTTTTTTTCAAAACATGTTGTTATAGGTAGCCATTATTGTAGAATACCAAATAAAAGTGTATTTGTATGACTTATATCAACATTTGAATTCAGATTCACATAAAATCGCGCGTCACTTGAATGAAAACTACTAGGACTCGCCTTTAGGTGGCGCTACACGTTCATCAATACTTTGTACCCATGGGCACTGAATCTAATGCATATTGGCGCCATTTTGGAGCTAGGAGGGGGAAGAGAGCTGCAGAGGAGGACACGATTTATTACAATTCACGCTTACAGGTAAGAAATGCACAAATAGAGAAATTCGATGGATCATGGAATAGTGCTATGTTTATTCGCGCATGTGGAAAAAAAATATGAGCAAATATACAGCGGTGGGGTTGGTCTGATTTCCATGCGGCGAAAGGAGGAGTGCAGCCCGCCTTCCTCGCCTGTGTTCTCGGTTGCCTTGTCTCGATTCTCCGCGTTGCTTTGACTTGGTCCTGCGCCGTAAAATGGTTAGCCGGGATAATATTAGCCTGTTGGGTTAGCTTACTGTCACCACAGTGAAAACATGATGTACAGTCGTAGTTGTACGCTTGAAATCGGGACAGTTCTAGCCACATAACGGTAGTTAGCCGGGGTGTTTTGTTACTGTCTATCCGCCCTCTGTCACTGAGATTGCTGCTGCTAATGTTAGCTCTACCATGCTAGTTGATGGTGTGCAGACCGACAAGCTAACAGCAGCTAATTGTGTTAGCCACATTATAGCAACCGAGCAGTCTGCATTTACATACTGCTGTGGTGCAATGGCAATAACTTCTTTGCTTAAAAGTGTCCGTTTCTCTATAAACCTTCTGAAAATGATAGTACCGCATGCTGTTTGTATTTAGATATTTAATGCCTTTGTTGTGGGAGGATTTTCTTTCTTTTTTATCGCTCATAATGGCTGCTTTATTTTGCGGTAGTACGGATGGGCAATAATAACGTTAGCGCATAAAAAATATTTATGTTGGAGTTTGCATAATCGAAAGTTGGCACTATTGGGCTCTAAAAGTACTGTAGTCCAGGATGACGGAAGAAAGCTGGGCTTTACCAAACCTGGTCATTGCATCCTGGTTTAATTGGTCAAACTCCAAAGTTGGCTGAGGAGGAGGAGTAGATTTTATAACCGCATTAGCCGTCATAGTAGTTGCAGCACCCATTGTAAACGATGAAAATTAAGTTTCAGTCTAATACCAATTGCTGTAATAAAACTAGGAAAATACTGCAGTAATAATAAAACTTATTGTTGAAAACTAAATTAAGGAATAACACAAATATAATAATAAAATAATTACTGTAAATATGTCGGTGAAAATAAACTATGCACGAAATGCTTATTAAAAAGTAGCCAGAAAAAAAAAATACACATTTTAAATACAATTGTATTTCCTTTATTTTATAATAACGGAAATTAAAAATGTACTGTGCTAGAATAAACTTTATAAATAGAAAAGAAAATCTATAGTGAATGTAACTGTTCTTGCACTTGCAAAAGCAGCACGTAAGTTTGACAAGAGAAATGCATAAATAATTAAATAAAATATGTATTTAAAATAGCATGTCGCGATCACATTTTACCTGCATATCCAGAAACCTTGCGTGGATGAATTATCAAAAATATTCACCTTTCCAGAAACTGGTTTCAGTGAAGCAGGAGGAGTCAAATAAATCACCATGATACAAAAAAAAAAAAAAACTTCAGTAATCCAGTCTGTGCATGCTGATCATTTGACAACCACTTTCAGTGGCTGCTTTGTTTGTTTTCACAGCTGTCATCTTGAGATTTATCTACAGAGATTATGGTCAGACGTTGTAAGAAGTGTTTGGAAATTTGGATTATATGATTGGGATGTTTTCACATTAGTTGTCAAGAATAAGCAGATACAGCAGTCAGGGTTTTATTGCTTTATTCCACGCCTATTTTTATTTGACATGTAAAAACTTGTGTGAACTTTATTTCAATGGAGCAGTTAAATGTAACTTTCCAAACTGCCAAATTGCTCTCCTAATTTCAATGTAAGTTTGTTCTTCGATAACTGTATATGCACACTTTTCTGTTCTTTTCCAACACTGCAGTGATGTGGTTGAATATTGTGATCGTCTCAATTCTGGTTAACTCGCATTTTTCTTTCACTTCTCTTTTCTCCTGTTCACCCCAACCCCCGTCCTGTTGTCATAAAAGACAAAGTCCATCAAAGCAGCATTGAGTGTTTGTTATTGCCAGGTAGTTTGTAATTGGATGGATCTGAAACGAGAGAGCCGACCAAACGTTGCTCCAAAGCAGTCGTTTGCAAGGGGCAGCATTAGACACATTGAAAATAACAATTACGATTCAGTATGCTGCATTGCTCACAGCACATTGTTTTCCCCCATTAAATGCTTCCAGTAGAGATCCCAGTCAGGCTGGTCAATACAGATTGACCAGTTAATGTTAGCTTAAAAAAAAATCTGTCACAGACATTGACTAAATAAAGGCAAGTTCATTCATAGAAGCAGCTTTGAAATGTGCAGTAAATTAAAGAAAAACGATATTATTCTCCATTCATGCATCAAAGCGCAACTCTCTAAGATATTGAACAGGAGCCAAAGAAGGGACTGTTTGTTGATATTTTAAGAGGCCGAGCAAAGTTTATTAAAGATACTTTTGGGGATTTTACTTTCTCGTTACAGGTTAGAGATGATCAAGGGAATTTTGGCTAATTAGCGCTCCTCTAAAAAATTGTTTTAACTCAGTCAGGGTGTTTGACCTACCACAAGCTGATTTTACAGTTTGGTTCTCACTTCTCCCTTTTTTAATCTAATCAAACGTATAGCTGATCATGTATTCTCACTTATCTCTAAAAGCTGCTTATGCAGTTGAGTGTTCATGATGGGTGAGTAGCCATAGCTACAGCTGTGGCTGGTTTGTTTTGAATGTTCTGTAGGCAGACATCCACAACACATAGATTTATTGTAAACAAAGCATTTCTTCCAACATTTATCTCCCTTCACTAATTGTAGGAGCTTTAGTGCAAGTCATTTTTTTTATCTACAAAACCTTTGTTGTTTTTGTTTGCCTTAATTGGTTTTGGTTGATTTTTGCAGAAAGTTATATCCCAGTTTCTTTAGTTTGAAACCACAAATGCTCTTTGACAAAGTTTACCCATTCCACTGGTTTGTTTCCACATACAGGTCACTGAGGTCACCTTTGCAGCCAGCTGGTGTCCAGGTTTCGCTCTTGTTGCTGGCTTTCTCCCGTTTTCCGTTGCCCACCCACAGGGTTAAAACCAATCTGTCTCTGTCAAGATTCAAATTTGGAAACGAGTTACCTTTGAGTCCTTAAAGTGGAGCTGGTGTTCAAATGAGCAGAACTGGCAGAGCAGAAGAGTAGTAGGGTACAAAGCCCTCTGTTGGGAGCAAAATATGTTTAACTGTGATAAACCAGTAATGAGCTCAAAGTAGCCCAAGCTGAGGATGTTAGGAGAGGGGTAAAGCCAGTCCCTTTGTGGTTATTTACTGCTGCGTTTGTGAAATGTTCCCTCA